CTCAATTAAAAGAAATTGCATCACATACATTTCAGGGCTTGTTCCATCATGGTGAAGAAACACCCCCCACTGACAAATGCTGGTCAGCACCAGGTGGATATACAGTACAGGAGCACGTCGCCTGAGAGCTTTCAGGCAGTTTGGGGGAGGTGTTTTGCCTGGATTTTCCATACTTGTTTCTTCTGAAGTGTCTGGTGGATCTCTGGCACACCTCTAATCCCATGTTGCACTTCTTAAGTCTCAAAACATCAGGGAAAACCTTCCCTACCTACCATTTGCATAGACCAAGTTCAATACTAATGGGCAACGTTTTGAGGTCCTGCAAAAAGCTACATATACCAACTGGATGGTGACACTAATGAACATTTAATCATACAAAAGTAGTTCTAAGAACCATAAAAATTTTACAGTTACATTAATACATCCATAATAATCAGATCCGCAAGCAGCATGATGTGTACAGTATCAGGACCCCCCATCCACATCTATATCTTCGGAATCTTCACTTTCCGGGCGACACATATCATCTAAGGCCATTTCTGGCCAGATTGAAAAGAAACGTATTAGCAAATCAGAGAGCTTAAGGCGTGGGGCCCAGCCGATAGCCAAACCTACAGACCTTCGATTTCAGTGAGATGAGGAATCTTCCGGAAGCCGTCGCGCAGGGCGGGGACCACCTGGTCGTACAGGTGCAGCACGTCCAGGCAGTGCTCCGCGAAGGCGCCATCGTTCAGGGACAGCCAGTGCAGCAGCATCAGCGTCTCCTTCAGCACGTTGGCCCCGGGCCCCCCCCACGGAGTGCTCCGTCCTTCCTGCCGCTCCTGCCCCCTGACCTCCAGCCACCGTCGGTGTAGGATCACCACCAGGGTGCGCACCACCTGGCCGCGACACACGGAGCAAGTAGCTACATCTCAAGTTGCATCACATCCTGGATTAATCCAACTAACCAGCGTAGCAAAGAAAATTATTACGGGTTTTAATAAAAACATACAGGCAGCTCTCGATTTACATAAAAAAAGCACCACACCGATCCATTTGGACTGGTGTGGTGCTGAGGTATCACCCGCTGCACTCAGGTTCTCATCCCTGAGGTGGTGTGGCGGGTGTGGCAACATGCTGTAATCCTCTATTCAGTTCAATGTGGTATTGATTAGCTGTATGAGGTGTGCCGGGGATTAGGTCAGAAAAGCACATGGGTGTATTGGATGGTTGGTGCAAATACTGGGGAGACTTTAGTATTTAATCATAATATAATTCTACACCAATAACATGATCATTTAAACATTACCTCTGATTGCCTAAGGCTTTTGCACAGTACTCTACATATTATTAATTAGTTATTATTATACATCTATTTTACTCCGTTACATATGATGTGTGAAGTGCCTGACTGTGCATCAGGACATTTTCCTTTGACATGTTAATGCCCTTGGTGATACAGAGGAAACGGCACGCTCATCACCCCAGGTCTGGTGCTCAGCTCGGCTCCTGAACACTGGCGAGGGGCCCTTACCCACATGCGAGCACAGCAGCATTGCCACCTCCGTGTTGGCGGCGGCGACGGCCAGCAGACTGACGGACAGGTGCGCCGTCTGAGAGGACGCGTCTGCGCTCAGGCACCGGGTCACGGACTGACGGCACAGCAGGCTCTTCATCCTGAGGAGGAAGGACAGCAGCTCAGTGCATGTGGGGATGTCCATTCACCTAGACACAAAGCCACCTCTGCAGTAAATAAAAAAGCATCAGTCTGCCTGCATATTCCCATTGTACTGTAAAGTCAGATTGTTCCCCAGTAAGTGCTGGCTGTGGTCTATTCTGAAAAACAAATGATTTACTACAGAATTCCGTGCAATACTTTCTCCAACATTCTTTGCACTGTTACTGATTATTGATTATTATTCATTGTTACCGTTTATTAATGTGTAAAATGTGTATTATGTTAC